TTTGCTGTTGCTGAAATCGGCCGGAAGTGAGTGGCTGGCTATTACTCATTTTTGGGGGCGAGACTCAGACCTTATGATGAAAAAAAGTTTCTGTTACGTATCGAACGAGTTTTGATTTTTTTTTTTCTCGGCGAAGCTTACTGCAGTCGCACTCAGCGAGACCACACAACCGTTTTCTTTAGCTTCCAAGCTACTGTATATCCTTTTTATTCGAGGGGTATAACGAATGTTCTCGGAATATAAATTGAAACGGCATACGATTGAACTGAGAAAAAATGCTGTTCCAAGAAAGCCTTATGGCTAAAAAAATTTCAGCTCTCTGTCACATTTTTTATAATTTTTTGTCAGAAGTCACCCTGGCAGCTTTTTGCTCTTCATTCAAACGATAAGGCGCCCGTCTCGCCGATGTTTTGGTGTACTCCGGCTTTCCCTTCAGAATTCTTGAAATTGACATGGCATTAATTCCAAAGCTTCCCGCCATTAAGTGATTATTAATTTTCCCATTTTATTTAAAAGCCGCCGAATGCGGCTGTTGATGAAAATGGCGGACTTACCGTGTAAGACCTGTAGGAAACCTTTGGAATTGATGCCATGTCGATTTCATTAAATCTGAAGGAGAAGCCGGCTACACTAGAAAATTTGGAAGATGGGCGCCACACCTTTTTCGTGAATGCTACCAGGGTGACTTCTGCAAAAATAAAAAAGGTCAAACAGGGCCAAAAAAAATTTTCTTGTGCCCACGAATGTTTTTTTTTTTCGTGACCAATACTTGTTTTTCAGCTCAGTTATGTGCCATTTCAATTTATATCCCGCGAATTTTGGGTTGACCCCTTTTTATGTGAACTTAAGGTTGCTTTTTTATATGTGAACCTATGGCTGCTTTGGTATATCTAAACCTATGGTTCCGCGGATAAATTCCTTCTCTTATAGCGGCTTCGTGGAGACCATGAGTCGGTCCGCTGAGGATTTCTATGATTTGTTTATTTGTTTCGCATATGGGGTTGAGGAACACTTCATGTTATACTTCACGTACGACACCTTGGTGAAAAAGGTTGTTTTTGGTCGTCTCATTTATCCTCTGATGCTGTTAGCTTTTTTTGTGATGTTGAACACGATGGGAATGTTATCGTATATCGTAATAAAATTAATGAGTGACATTCGCAGCAACGCGCGAAGTTCAGTAAATGAGATAAGTTCACAGGAACAGCAAAAAACTCAGATCTGACTTGAAGAATATGATATAAAAACAATGAGTGATTTAAGTAAGGTTTATGTGTTATGCAGTAATGACATTCGTTACGTGCGTTTTTCTAAAATTTTAGACTTCTTTCGGATGTGAAAGTGAGCTCAACAGGGAAGGATTTGAATCACTGCTGCTTGGTCTTCGTATTCATATTTGCTTCCGAGTTGAGCTCAATCAAACGGTCGTAGGGGATTATTTCCGTCTTTGTACTACAGTTGAGCGAGGTCGGGAAGGTGAATTGTTCATGAGGCGTGGCGAAGTTGGAACCCTAAACGGCCGCTTGCTACTGCGCAATGGTCGAGGGTTCCGTGAGCATCGCTGCACTGTGGGTTACCGTGTAATTCAGATGATCGAGCCGGGTATACGTCACGCGTCGTAAGCTAGCCATTACTTGCTTTGCTGCTGCGTCACGGTATGGCTCGGTTACACTTTGTCAGCAATGATTTTTAATCCCCCTGCGGTTGCCTTGTTTTTTCACGGGGCGAAAGTCAGACTGGCGTAATTTTGACGGTGGAACGCCAGGGGGCGTGGGAAACGGGTTCGAGGTTGAATTAATCCCGACAGGTGCTCGACTCTCCGGGGGAAGAGGCTATCTCTTTCAATCAACCTGCAGCCTGGTCTCTCTTTCAAGATTGTTACCTTCAGCAGGTGATGAATCATTCTTTGGTCGGACGCGAAGCTTTGTGCCGGGTTGAGGGCGGACGAGTGGGGTTGCCGGGTTTTTCATGGGCCGTTGAGTGCCAATTTTGTTGCTGAGAGATATCCGGTTGTGACCGAAGCATGGGATATCGAGGATTTGTCTTTTCGGCGATGTAGTTTCTCCTGTGCGTCTTGCGTTATCGCGGCCCGAATCCGCTGGGAACAAGTCAATGGGGCACTCCACGAATGCGCTCCAAATGCAGTAAGCCATATCTTTTCTTTCTTGGGACAACATCCATCTTTTAGTAATCGAACTTCTGCACCCGCGTCTTGAGAATACTGTACAGTACTCGAAGATACGGGGATTGAAATTCTTTTCTGGATTTTTCCACTTTCAAGATTTTGTACATGCTGTGGTTGTGTTGAGTGCGCACCACGCCCTTATTACCGAGCTCCACCAATGTCGTTGAATCAAATTTAAATCGTAGTTTATGTTACCTATTTCGAAATTTTCTCTCAGACGCTTGTTCAACTTTATACTAATTTTGCTGCTCTTAACTCAAGTCAATCTCCTTAACTCTATGCCACCGTGCTTATTTTTCCCATCTGACGCACTTCACTCCCCATTTCATCGACTTCAATTTTTTCAACTCAAGTAGCACTCATTGAATACGCCACCTGAACTTCGAATCTTGCATATCATATGTCAGGGTGCCTGCCTGCTTAGGCACTACTGTACTTGTCAGGTACTACTGTACTTGTTTTTGTAGCGCGATTCTGAATATCATATGTATCTTATAAAATTAAAACAGGAGCTCCTTTAGTGTATTTTCTTGACGCCGGAGAAAATTCTCAGCGAATACTCGGAGAATCGGCTTTAATGTTCTGCATGCTAAACCTATTGATTTTATTTTGGATTGCTGTATTCCTGATTTATCCAGTTGGAAACAAGTTAATAATGTCAATTGAGTTCCCGACTATTACAATTGTTCTTCTGAAAAAATTTTCGAAGTTTTTTTAAAAGTCCGTGTGCATTGGGCATGTATTTTTAATGTTGGTATATCTATTGCTAACAATCTCTGATTTTCTGAACTTTCGAGGGTCTTCGTGCGAAGTGTTTGCCTGTTGTGTGTGTCTCATTTTTATTTTTTTATATTTTACTATCGGTTGCTAGGGGAAGCAGATTACATTTTTTGTAGCATTAGGAACTGAACAATAGTTCTTCATTTTTTGACTCGTTATGAAGGGAAATTGAGCATATCAACTTTGTTTGGGCGTGAATTTGAGCGTGTGACGCATGATAGTCAGACGTTAGAATTGCGACCCGCGGCACAACAGAACGGGTTCAGCGCGTGCAGGAAAGCGATTTACTCATTGGATAAGGTTGGCCCAGTGAACTCTTATTTCCTGGCGTCATTCTGGGTCTCTGGTTCGCTTGGTAAGGGGATTTCTTCGCAGATTACTTTATTCTTCACTTCTACCGGAGAACCTCGAAACCCCGTGCTTCGATTAACCGCGAATAAAGACTCACCGGATTTCCGCTGAAACCCCGAAAAAAAAGTGTCTTCTGTTTCAGACCGATTTAGGTATTCTTTCTTCACCTTTTACGCACTGGACTCATCACCGCGGCAAAAATGCTGCCAAGTTTTTTTTTTACTGAGCTTCGATTTAACAGCTGATCTAAAATTATGATCATCTCGAACCCTTCGTGCTCCTTGAGAATCAAATTTATTTTACTCCGATTATCTTTGACTTTAAATTACCAATAAGAGGAAGGCAATCGGCAATCATCTCGAAAAATGATGGTTTTGTCGTACCTTCCATCATGCTGAAAACCGTTTGGGTATCCAGAAAAGGCCGAATCATCAGAGCAGTTGTAATGAGAAAATGTACAATTGGTCTCCTGTCGTCGACGCATGATTCGTTATGGTCGGCCCAATTTTATTCAGTCGGTTAGTAAGGGGATGGGGGGATGGTATCTTCCCACGAGCTCCCACACGTCGCCTAAAAATGTAAGTCAACGGCTCACCTGTCAGCTTGTAAGCAACTTCCGTCGTCACGACGTTCCCGGGGAATCCTGGCGATTTTCTGAATGAAACTGACGGAAAATCTATCGTCCTCCTTAATATACGTAGATGGTAATACAAGTTTCCACACATTCGCGAGACCCGCGTGGTTCTTAATCGACATCTTATCCTTGACAAGAAGGAAAAAAGCTACGAATAACCTGGAATTCCATTCAAAAATCCCCGCGTCTTCCGTTTCCGTTTGTACGCATGTGTTTCCGTCGTGACTGACTTAAACTAACGTTTCCAGCATTTATGAATGAACGTATATCATGAACTTCGAAAATTACCGTTATGACCCCCAATAAGTTTCATTGAGGATACTACCAGTATACAGAATACGAATATTAAACATCTGTGAAAGGTGGGAGATACCTTTTTGAACTGGGAAACAAAGTTTAATCATATATGACACGGAAATGAAATCCAAATGATAACAGTTAATCGTGGGAGCTTTAATCGTGAAATCGCTCAAGTTCTTTTCTAACTGTGGGTATGTAGTACACAAAAATACTGCATAGCAAGCATAATTTAATCATAGCACTCGATATCAGTACGTATCTGTACCAGAAATTCTGGCGTTTAATGAATCCTGTGTCCGAAGTTTCGCAACTTTATGTCGATCTCATGTCATATTGAAATGCTCATGTTAGTTAACTCAGAATATAACAATCAATCAAGAAAACCTTAGCTAACGGAACTTCCGAGCATAAACGATGTCATCTTATGATATCCAAGAGGAGCAAACAATTTCCTATTTTGGAATTATTGAAGAAATTTCTCGCGCGTTTCCTGGAAGTTTGTTTGTTCTGAACATTTTAGGAAATGATGGAAATTTCACTGAATTCATCCCTTACAATTCATTCATGATATATTTTCCGGGATATTCGATGATCCTGGTGAAGGTACGTGGTTATTCCACGGATAATTGAATTTCTACTGCAATTGGCCAACACCCTCTCCTCAAAATCGTGCAAGATTTTCCGCGTAGTCCGTGAATGAGAACAGTAAAACTGCGCTGGTAAAAATCTGATGTCAGCCTTTTCCTCGTTAGATCATAGGTTGGATTTCGTGCATGAGAACAGTGGTGATTGGGTAAAACTTTCCTGCATGCGTTTCCAAACGTAATAATGGAGACGGACACTCTTGCTGAACCTGGTTCAACTGCAAGCCCAGCAAGGCCGATCTCGATCAACTGCAGTTTTCCTGACGGTGAGCCCTTCCTTCTCCGCACTGGCTTGCTGAGCGTGTTGTCTTTCCTGCACTGGGTTCGAGCGCAACATTTTTTTGTAGTTTTTCTTTTATTAAAATGGAATCCACGTGAAGGAGGAATCCCACGAAATTTTTCTCTCCGAACATTTCCTGCGTCTTGGTTGGGTTATGCTCTGGCGGTGCGAGTCAGAAGTTTTGCTCGACGCATTTTGAGAGCCGCGAAGAAATCTTATGAGTGAATTTGCGTTTACGAGTCATTCTAAAAACACGTCGACATAATTGGCCTCGGTTGCCAGGATGTCGGACGAAAGCAAACTGATGCTCGTCGCTTTCCTGTTTCGTCTGTGTAGTCGACGGCAGCGAAAATATCTGTCTCGATCGCAGTGAATCTGCCGTATCAAACAATAACAGAACACATCTGCAAACATTTGAGCTTTCGATGGCCCAAAAGCACTTATTTTGCTTGCTTTCTTGGCTCCTCGAACCGTCGGTTTTTTCGAGCCCCTGTCCTGTTTTCTTCGCTAGACGATGATCAAACTCGACGGATTCGGGAGCAATCCTCAAACACGAATCGGACTTCTGCTTTTTTCTTTGTGTTCGTGAAGAACTCATTCTGTAGTGATGAAACGATTGGGTTGGATTTTTGAGGTTTCATTGTTGTGAAATTCATTGGGAATAACCGGAATTGGCGTGATCATGTGCTACTGAAGATACTGAAACAAATCGAGTATTTTCGTAATGTGTTTTTTCCGTGAAATTCTCTTCAATCTAATGTTTTCCTTCACAGAGATCAAGCTTATATTCACAGCTGTACATCTAATGTACGTATGACTTGTGCGTGTTTTACTGATGATGACCCATTTACATTCAGGTTGAATGGAATGTTGAAGTACTGCGAAGGAACATCACCCGAATCTGATTCGAATGGATGTTTCTATTTTTTCGCTTATACGCGGGAAAAACTACTGTACTTGACTCCCTTATTTTTTTCATATTCCGGTGTCAGTTACCAAAACGGATTGACGTAACTTATCACTCAGTGATAGCAAGAGTTGGAAATTCCCTCCCACATGCTCCAAGTTCTGCTGAAAATTCCTGCCCCTGTTTATAAAATGCGATGTTAAAAATAAATTCAGACGACTTGAAGCGATTTAATTATAAAAAATTAAATGTTCAAAAACGAAAACTTGGGAATTATTGATCATTGGAAAGTTTGCGCTGGAAAAAGTTCCGTTCATTGACTCAATAATGACAAGCTTCTCCATCCCACGTGACTGGGATGAAAGTGTGGACCGAAAGCTGATAAAGCTGATTAATCCAATAGGAAAATGATCAGAGGAAATATGAAATATAATTATTTAGAAAAATGGAACATCTCGAAGCAACCCAGATAACGTTGAATTGTTTCAAGGAAAAATTTCAAGAAATGCAATCGGTAAACGATGCAATGTTTGCCTTCTGATGCAGCAACCAAAAATCGTGGATAAATGAAAATCTCAAATATTAGCCTGCGATAATTAACCCTCTTGAAGCCTGTCGTATTTCAATGGATAAATCTTCAAATTCCAATATTGTGTATTTTTTCTGACGCCCTTAAACCAACAACTACATTTGGCACTAGGAAATAAATTCAGTGTTTTGATGTGCCCAATTGGTGACTCACGCTGTTCGGACGCCCATGGGCCCATAATATGGTACTGTACAACGGTCAGTTGAACTCAAGGATAAGCGAGGTACTAATAGTATGCATTCTAATATGCTTTTGTTCTGATGAAAAATTACTATTGATGGAACGGATACCTCAACTATCAACTCGACTTCGTTGGACTTATAAACTCAGGTATCTCTCATGCATGGGGTTTTCATACTCGATGTAGAGAGTGTATCATTTTGAACATGCCTCTAGTTAAGTCTTCAAGTAAGTCTTTCAGTGTTCATGTTATCTCCTTTGTGCGCCATCTGTCCGAATACGACATGATGTGCAGAGCCTCAATGTCTGCAACCTAAAAATAAATTCGTTGAGTTCAGTTTTTTTGTTGGTTGAAGACTTAAACGTTTGGTTTTTTGTACATCATGTCGCCAAATTCTCCCTCCATTGGTTTCAACGCACATTGTGGACACACAATCGCTTAACACCATGCACTTTTCTGCTGATCTCCATGTGATTGCCGATGGTCTTACGTGCCAGTAGTCTTGAGCTTACCACCGGTTGAAAAACCTGTCTAAATAGACTCCTTTTGACCCAAACCATCACGCTCCACTTAATCTTATTTAATAACTAACCAGAATCCCAAAACATGATTAAAAAATGTAACGCGGAAACACAGTCTCGAAGCAGTACTCAAGTTTGAGGTTTCCAAGAAAGACAAGTCCTCGGCCTTCGCGGAATTACGGTAGTGAGAATTTCTTGGGATAGTCCTCGAGAAATTTTTTCGTCATCCGATATTTCTTTTCTTCCATATTTTTCCCGTATGGGCGGAAGTGCACTGGAGCGTATTTGCTTTTGAGATGGTTCGGAAAGACACGCATGTACGAACAGGGCCAAGTGGAAGGAGTCGCTGGGTTTCGTGTGTGATATGGTGGTTGTGGTGAGCCATGCATTGACTCATGGTTGACAATGACCTGGCTTTTTTGTTTGCTTCTCAGACCTGATAATCTCGCGAGCTGGCGACAAAACGTCTGAGCGATTCTGCGTAAAACCGCGCGATCGTCACTTATAAGATCTGCTGTAGTGTAATTTTGATTCAGAGAAAGATTCATTTTGCTACGGTTTTTTTTAAACGATGAAACAGTTTTTATTTCGGATGCATTGATGCTGCGGCGGTAATGATTTTTTCACTGTCGGGATTACAGTACATAATTCATGCCGCTTTTGTTTGCTTTTAAACCGAGTGGGTCTTGATGCTTTACTTTCGATATAATTTAATCAAAATAAAATGGAAACAATTTGCGTGATCTGACAACGTTCGGACTCATTCTTATTTACGCACTTTTCTTCTTTACTTAAGTCGAGCTCCCGATGCCTGTTCTAATCCATACTCCATTTTTGATTGATGATAGAATTGCATTATTTTCGTCGTATCTAATGCAAAATGGAGGTATGTTTTGTTTGATGAACTTGCCAAGTGCATGTTTGTACTGTAGTTGCTGTTGCACGATGCATCTGGTCGGTGCTTTTCGTTGATAAAACTCACAAAAACAAATCCTCCTACACGTAGAGCGATATTCTCTGAGGAAATATTTGATACAGCAGCAGAATATCATTGTACCGTACAGCAGATGATCTCCCTCTCTCTTAAACTCTTGAGTAACACTTTTCTGTACTATACTACAATTCCGAAACCATGCGTGAGAAAACGAAGGATATTTGCAGAGAATATTTGACGTAGAGGATCTGGTTATACATGTACTGTTCAGTACATTAACGGTGGGTTTGCCGGGAACAAAATCGTTGTGCAGAAAAGACAGTTGTGAACAAAATTGTTGATGAAAAAAAGTATTTTCTCTCTATACTCTCTATACGAGTTTCTCCTTGACAATGATATTCTCAGCATGACGCATTTTTCGGCTCTTGGAATACTGCTGGTGTTGAGAGAAAGTCCACCTTTCTGTAATTCGTGCGGATGATTTGCTGGGGATACATTCAGCTTATTTGACTGTACCCTCGAATTATAAGCTGAAATCATGTAAGTCATGATCATGAGAAACCACGCGCAAGTGTTATTGTTCGAAACGAAATTTTCGGCGTCAACTACGAAACGTTGTGGGAAAAATGGGGAAAATGACGTGAAGGCTGTTCAAGGTTGCCACCGAGCCGATGCCGACCTTCCTGCGATTCCAAGTTGGACAAATTGCAGGTTCCTGATTATCACCACGAATGAACTGATGGCCGTAACACCAGGAAATTGGTTTGCATCCGAAGGCTGCGCATTTTTGCCTTACAATCCTCGTAGCAGCAAAATAGTTCGTAGTTTCTCATATCGGAAGAGGGAACTCCGGGCGGAACAATGGGTGACAGCAGCTGGGGAGAAGAAAGTAAAAAACACACTGAAACCTCAGGGCCCATTGAGGCTTCGACCCTCGCGCGGTGAGATATCCCGAAGCGAGAAAGACTTCCGGCGCGGGGAGGAAAAAAAATTACAGGATGTAGTAGTATGGACAGAGGGGCGCTCTCATCCCGTGAAGGTGTTGGGTTCATTCACAAAATGCTTGCGCGGGTCTTTTTTTTCTGTCTTCCTCTTTTTTCCCGCGCCCTTCCTACGCTTTCGACAAACAACTACGTGTAGGGCGAGAGGGAAGAATCGCGGCTGGTGCTTTGAAAAGTTAGATCCCGTACAGTGCTGGGTGCGTTTTGGTTTCCGGAAAAAAGCGTCATCAAGTTGCTTTGCGCCGGGCTGCTGCAACCGCTATTCTTACGCGATTCTGTGCCACCTGCGCGCCGAATCGCTGATTGCTGAGCCGGCCGTTTTGTGGTGTTACGAAAGGGAAACCTTGGCTTTCGATCGCCATTGTGGACACTGATGAAGTCCACCAACACGGCGTGTTCTTCCACTCTGAGAATACTCGTCTGGTTTTGTAACTTTCCCCCGATTCTTTCCAGGCGGGACCCGTGAATGCAACGAGCCTTGGGGGGTGTTCTCTTTCATTCGTTCATTCTTTCGGTCTCGAAAATGAGGCTTCGATTTCTGACTGGAAAATCTAACATAGACTCTGCCTGATCGCTTTGTCTCATTCTGGGCTATTTTCTGGAGGTGGCTGTGTTCGGAACAGCTGCATCGCTGTTGGAGGTCCGAGCACGGAGGAAAGCGTCAACCCCGGGGACCTCGTGGAGAACAAAGGCTCGAGAGGCTGCATAATTTCAAGACTTTCTATTGATTTTGAACTCTGTTTAAAGCCAGTTGTGTATAAAGCTGTTCCCGCCCTTTCCGGTGCAAATTTTAAAGTTCCTGTTTCGTCAGCTGTCCCGCTGGAGTCTCGGAAAATTTTCCAGCTGTTTACTT